AGTTTGTCTCAGATGAGTCAGTTCTTCCCGGTTTCATGGTTCATTTCACATGGAAGCGTTTGTTTGTCGGAGAGATGTACGGAGGAAGTCATGAATTCCTTGGTGATATGTTCCTCACTTTGCTTTGAATTAAAGTACGCTAACGTTTCAACACAACCTTTATTTGGTATTTCAGTATTTCCGTAGGAGGCTGCATTGTGTTTGACAACGCCGGGCATACTGAAAGAGTTTTATTACAACTTTCCAAGCCGCGAGGCTTGCCACTTTCGATCTTCGGAGACGTTTGCTTACAATCTCTCTGCACTGTTACGCAATGTTGTGTCAATGGGCAAGCACGACAAACATGTCTTAATCGATCTCAAGTGAATAAAATCGTCAATACTTTGTTCACCGTATTTGCGAATGATCCGACCTCGGGCTCATACGATGCACGGATATTCGATGTTCCAGATCCATTGACTTTCTCTTCTGTTTAGCAAACAATCCCTGCGGAGGGGATCCATCACGCTTCTCGGTCTTTCGAGCCTGCCGCGACGCGTCGTGCAAGGGAAACTGGAAGCTATCTGCCTCGTGAACTAGTCACAGATGCCGCGGTAACCAAAACAAATGTTTACTCATGTTGTGTAATCGAAGATAGCGCTATTATCCACCTTTTGTAAATTATTTTCACTATCACCATTTTTTAGGCGCTTTGATTGGTATGGGTTCGTTTAATCGTCTGTTTTATATCCTTGTGTCTTTATTTTGATAAGTTAATGTTGTTAATCCTTCGCACGCCTTCCTTGGAGGAGAAGTAAAGCCGGATTTTAATATATTTACTTGCATGTAAAGATATTCACGCCTAGTGAGCATTGATCAAAATTCGCATCGCCTGTTTTCGTCGCTCAAGTCTACCTTCTTTCTCCGCTAGTTGGTAAGGATCATTTGCGTGGTTCACACGGACGAGCAGTCCTCAGTTAGGCATTATTCATTTTAAGAATGAATGATTTATTACTGTAATGTTATGTAGTTCGGTATATCTTAACCCTGGGGCGCTGTTGAAAGTGCTGAGCGGTGAGGGTTGCGCGCTAATAGCTTTATGGATCCACGGACGCTGCCTCGGGCTGAGCAAACAAGTCTCGGTTTAACTACTTTTTTGCTGTAGAGCCGGCCGAGGAATGGACGAGCTGAAAACTGTGTTGTAAACTGCAATCTTGGAAAATACGAGAAGAGAGTACGAGAGAACGAGAATGGCAGTGCCTAGTTATGTCTTCCAGTATGAGTCAGTTCTTCCCAGGTTCATGGCATTCATTTCAACATGGGAAGCGTTTGTTTGTCCCGGAGAGATGTAACGGAGAAAGTCCAGAAATTACCTTGGTGATAAATGTTCACTCACTGATAGTGTTTTGAATTAAAGTAGCTAACGTTTCAACACAAGCCCTTATTATGGTATTTCACGTATTTCACGGTAAGGAGGACTGCATATTGTGTTTGACAACCGCGGCATCTGAAAGAATTTTTATTACAAACTTCGCCAAGATCCGCGATTGCACTGCCAATTACGATACTTCGAAGAAACGTTTTCTTAACAAAAATCTCTCTAGCACTGTCATAACGACCAACGAATTGTCTCAATGGGCAAGCAACACAAACGTATGTCTTATCGATCTCGAAGTGAATAAAATCGTCAAATACTTGTTCCACCGTATTTGCGAATGATCGAACACTTGAAATCATAGATGCGACGGATATAGATTCCAGCACTCCATGACTTTCTCTACTGTTTTGCAAACAATCCCCTGACGGAGGGGATCCATCCGACACTTGTACGGGATCCTTCGAGCCTGCCCCCGCGGACGAGTCAGTGCAAGGGAAACTGGAAGGCTGATCTCCCGTGAACTACGTCACAGATGCCGCAGTAACCAAAACAAATGTTACTCAAAATGTTGTGTATCGAAGATAGCCCTATTATCCAAACAATTTTGTAAATTATTTTCACTATCAACCACATTTTTAGCGCTTTGATTGAAGTATGGGTTTACTTTAATGATTGTTTTATATTTTGTCGTCTTATTTTGACTAAAAGTTAAATGTTGTTAAAATCCTTCGCACGCCTTCCTTTGGAGGAGAAGTAAAGCCGGATATTAATATATTTACTGCATGTAAAAGATATTCAAGCCTAAGTGAAGCATCTGATCAAAATTCGCATCGCCTGTTTCGTCGCTCAAGTAATACCTTCTTTCTCCGCTAGTTGGTGAAAGGATCAATTTGCGTGGTCACACGGACGAGCAGTCCTCATAAGGCATTAATTTAATTTAAAATGAAATGTATTTATTTAACTGTAATGTTATGTAGTGTCGGTATATCTTATTCCATCCAGTCTCGGTTAGTTTACTATATAGTTTGGGCGTCATCCATTAAATATTACAGATTACAAGTACGAGCTGTTATTGCCAAATTTAATAGAATACTGAAGCTTCACTATAAATACTGACATGAAAACCATATGGAACAAGGCTCTGCGTAAAGTGCAAAATGAAATAAAACTATGGTTATATTCCAAGACGCAATTGATTGTCATTAATAGTTGCTTCATATTTTTTCCTCACTATATAAAACTATTTATCTTCTTCTTTGTGAGAAAAAGAGCTCATCTTCAGACTTCGCTTCCTTCTCTCACAATATACAACCAAACGCAAATGATGAGAAGCCTATAGTACTTATAATTACTCTGGCCTTTTAGAACTTTTAATTTTGATACATTATTACATCCAAGTGTCGATGAAATAGTATTTGGAATTCAAAATTCTGGTACAAAAGGTTAGGTTTGTTTTGGTTAGATCGTTTCAAAAGCAACGAATTTGTTGTAATGTCATCACTTGCTTACCAGCTAATTTTCTTACTGAAAACTCGCAAATATTCGCTTTTTTAAAAATTTTTGACGAAGCATAATTATAATTTTTACAACATATTTCTGCTATGGCTGAGGTATGACACCATTGAATTTCAAGGTAAATAATGAAGAGAGATTTCTTCCATAAACGTCGATTGAGCAGCCATCGTCTACGAAATGGCGAGGATGGACCCAGATGGGAGGCGGGGAGGGAAGGAGTGAAGAGAGGTCGGGATGTGCGGGAGGGCGAAGAACGGGGAGATGCGGCGATGG